GTTAGCCAGTGTTCGTTAATCGGACAGAGACGCCCAGGAGTTATCAACGTCTGACCCGGATCAACAGATAAGAAATACTAAAATCATTCTTACTCTATATCAACAAAAACTGTGAGAATACAGTCAGAAAATTTATCAAATGATAAATAGCAACGTGTTTATTTTATACCATCGATTTGTCTTTAGAAAATTTATGGATGTAATAAAAATTAGAAAATAATGTTATCGTGCTAGGACAAACCCGGGACACCCAAAATGGACAACCTTGATCTCGAAAACGAAATATATATGTACTGAATTTTGTTCAATTCATTTTAATTACATGTTTTAATTACATGTATTTTAATTACATTGTATATGGTAAATTACAATTTGTGGGTAATATATAAGTTTTTTACTCAAAGATATTATACTCTTATAATCTTATATAGATATAAGAGTACATTTCTTTTTCTTGAAAGTGATCAAGAAAGAAAAGCAGTTACCAAGACTCCGAAAAAAAATATGCTGATTTTTTTTAAATATCGTAATCAATGATTATTTTAATTATTAAATATTATAATAATTCTCTTGATAAGGAGGCGTCCATTAATCACGTGACGATTTTAGAGGGAGGGGGGGGGTTTTGACAATATATCACGAAATATCACGTGGGGGATATGGTAAGATATCACGTGTATTTATTTTTTAACTGATTTTTTCTTTCAATTAAAACATTTTCAGAAAAAAATAAAAAAAATTAGTTTTTAGCAACTAAAAATAACGTGATGCTAGGTGAGGGGGCTAATTTTGTATATCGTCATGTATCACCAGGGGAAAGGGGGGGGGGGGGGGTCAAAAAATCCTTGAAAACTCGGCTCACGTGATTAATGGACGCTCCCTAAGAAGAATTATAAAACATTATGTCAAGTCCTTTCATATGTTCGAATTGTCGTCATGGGTTGATCGACATGACGTGCTAGCCATACCAAAATATTATTCTTGTAAGTTGGTGCTTGGATGTTAAATTGTCGTGATCCCTACATTTGAGGTAAAAATTCTCACAATCAGTTAGCTTCTTTATATAGTCATATGCTCTCAGTACGTCCGTCTGTTCGTGCATGTATTTTGTTGAATAATAGTGTCTCGTCAGGGGGTGTCTCGGTTAGTTTAGTACTAGTCAAGGTGCCTTGTTCTGTATAGTCTGTATTCTCCGTGAATTCGTCCTTGTAGTCGCTTTCGGGAGCAGCGTACAACGATATCGGTCGAATTAGTGTTAAATATTTTGTCCATTTGTTTTTTAATGCTCAGCGGGCTTTATGGTTCAAGAGATGTCTCATCAAATTCATCAACGTCTGTTCAATTTTGAAGATTGCATGTTTGGTGAAGCTGAGTTTCCTGTCCAGGCTTAGACCAAGGCAATTCACCTCCCTGGACTACTCAACCATAAAGTTCATTGTTTTAATTTTGCCCATGTCTGTCAGTTTAGCGGCCTTGCGGCTCTTTGTAAATATTTTATTCCTTTAACATCTTTACTCTATTATTAGAATTTCCTATGATTTTTTTTATTAGAATTTATCATAAATTTTTAGTTTTGATTTATATTTTTATAATACTTAAGTGAATTAATCTAATACTGACTATGTTTTTGAAGTAAAACTTCTTTAGGCGCGACTTGGTCGTAAATCCGTACAAATGCAACGGAAGTGCGTTACTGCCGAGTCGAGTGCCAATGATTCGTCATTCGCTCTCGATGATATCATTTCTATACCGATCGATTGTGATTAGTCGTCGTGTATGTGAATACAGTCGTGTTATTCAACATAATCCACTGTGTGAACAAATATTATAGAATTTATTAATCAACAATTACTTCATTTTTCTAATGAATGTTCATTTCTAAATGCTAATTACAATGACAAACCGATCATGTCATATTTGAAGTATGATTTTAATTACATTATTGTTTTTAAATATTATATATATTTTTAATGCTATTATAAATATATAATTTATAATTTATCATTATATTAATGTGTATAATGGTTGACACTAATAAATGTGTGCATCACGAGTGTTACCATATTACTAATAAACATTATTCAAAATTGTTATATAATGCATTTATTTTTACCATATGCCATCTTGTACAGTAGCAAATAAGTTTTACTTCAATCGCGTGTGAACCTTACGCGCACTCTTTTTATGTTTATATTTTGATTTTCTAACCGATTTGAACTATGCACTTGACTTTATATTTAGTCTACACATATCACAAATGAGCAAATCAAGAAAAAATCACCAGAAGAGGAAGAAAATCCTTATGTAATAGTATATCAATAATTTCACACCGTAACAATTAGAAAAAAAACATGTTACTAACGCCAAAATCATTTTAATCCAAGTGTTTCGTTTCGATACTAAAAGTTGTCAATTTTGGGTCTGGTTTGGTGTCATCATGAATTTTGTGACTAAATATTTATATAAAATATGTATTATCAAGATCAGAACCTACAAATAATTCTCTAAAAAATGAAATGCTATCTCTATATAATTCGCCAGTTTAAACAATACATCAATAATTTTGCATCAGAATAATTAAGATATGTGCTGGTCATTAGCATCAAATTACTAATTGGAAATGATCATATTGGAATTAAAAAAAATATTTACAGCTTTCTACACTAACTAAGAACGTCCCAGAATCAAAGAATTGCATATCGAAATAATTAAGTCAAGGCTGTATATGTGATATAAATATAATCATGTATATATATATATATATATATATATATATATATATATAATGGTGGCAAAATGATACCATATCAGAAGACAATAAAATGCAAAACTAGCTGTAAGTGGAATTCTGTCTTGAGGCAAATATGGCATCGTGCCATAAGGCAAATTGCTGGAACTTCCCGTACCGTAACGAAATGTTCGAGGAATACTGAATGTTTTCAAATAGATTATTATAAATATTGTAACATTGCCTAATATTTACAAGAATTATATAAACTGAATTGCAGAGTTGAATTTATTTGTATAGTATATTAGAACTATAGTCAGAATTAAAAATAAAATCTGAAATATTTTCGATATACAAAAAAAAAAAAAAAGTTGGAACAAAATTTTTTTTCCCAAAATCAATTATTTTGTTAACTTTCTGCTTTGTTAACAAAAGCAGAAAGTTCTTTGAATCATTTAAATCGGACGCTTAGTTCTCTCAAAAACTGCCATTTTTTACATATTTAGCTCCGTATCTTCGGAATGGTTGGGCCTGCCTTTGCCAAAAACTAATAAACACTTCTCCCAATCATTACTAATTGAATGTTTTTTAGATCATTCAAATCGGATACTCCGTTCTCTCAAAAATTCGATTTTTATTTTCTGCACTTTTTGCTCCGTATCTCCGAAACGGCTGGACCTGCCTTTGCCAAAAACTAATCAGCTCTTTTCCCTATCAATAGGAATCGAATGTTTTTTGAACCATTCAAATCGGTTGATCCGTTCGCCCTAAAACGTGACTGGAAATTTGTATCCATACATACATACACACACACACACATACACACACACACACACACATCCATTTTTTCTGAGGTATGCCAAAACGTTCAGAAACCTTCAAAACGTCGAGAAATGTAAAAATTTTCAATTCCGATTTTCGGCCCATTACAATAACTTACCCTACGGGAAGTTAAAAAACAAGCTTCATATTTGCATCAAAATAAATGTATACAGAAAATAAAAATTATCATTATTCAAATTAGATGTACATAGCCAACTATCAAATTTTTGAAATTGGTTCAGTCGTTTTTTAGAAAACATCGGCGAAAAGTCAAAAATCGGCTCCAACAAACACATACACTTTTCCGAAATTGGTCTCAAACGTTTCAGAATGACTTAAAACATCGAGAAAACAATTTTAGCAAGTCGGATTTTTCCATGTAAATATAAATTTTTCCTTCGGAAAGCTGATAATAAAAAAAAAGCTGATTATGTCTACTGAGAAAGCAAGATAATCCAAAATATAGAGAATTTCATGCCCGGATAATTCTGAAAACTTCAACAAAAATGTTATATTCAGAGAAAATTGTACTTTCAAATAAAAAAAATATTTCCAAAAAATATTCAATTTAATTTAAGATTAAAATAATTTCTTTTTTTTCTTTTTGATGTTGAGAATAACATTCGCTATTTATACCTTAACGTGTTAAATAGACAGAAATAGAAAGTTTTTAGATAGCAACTAAAGGAATAATTTTTATGTGAAAATTATTTATGCTTGAATATTAATTCTCGATTTTCATAGATCAATTAAATGAATCTAATTAACGAAACAAATTCCAGACGAGTTGGTCGTTTAACCTTATGTCATTATCATCAGACGATTATGAAATTGCATCGATATACATCAAACAGAAAATGATCAACATGCCAAAACAAAATGATGTATTATTAATAATTGCATCAGAAATGGAATTTGTTTTTGATAAAATCAACTACATAAAATAAACAACGCAATGAGACAGAATTTTGTAACAAGTTACAATTTTCTTTGATTGTATTCAATTCTCATTCCTATGCCATATACGAGTATAATTTTGATGGTTTGCATAGTTTCTTTACTCATTGTCAATTATTTTTTTCTAAATGTTTTTTTAATAAAATTATATTTGTCTTGAATAGAATTTTGTACTAATGAATTTTTATTCATTTTTTTTATAACATTTTATTTTATAAATAAACATTATTTAATAATAATAAAAATAAAGGTACATAATAAAGAGTAAATAATCAAAATGTATGGAAATGTATTAAAACTCGTGAAATATTTTAAACTCCTAGAAATTTCAATTTTTTAAATTGAATTATTATCATTATTAGTGTATATTATTATATTGGGCACGATCATTAAAAGAAAAGGCAACTGGATCGAAACCATTCTACAAAAAAGTGGTTTCTACCCGACGTCGAAGAAGGTAAAATAGAAGGACTAAAAGGCTGAGAGAAGAAGAATGTACATGATTGATGAGATAAAAGAATACAGGGAACTGAAAGTCGAAGCAACAGGATCAGGAAGTGAAGAAGAAGTATGTAAAGGAAAATTCATAAGTGCGGAAAAAAGTAATTGTAATGTAAAATTAATGGTAATAGAAATAATAAATAAAGAAGGAAAAGAGAATAATTAACTTGTTGCGCTCTCACACCATGGACCTGCCTTTGGAAAAACTACTATTTAATATTAGTATTATTATTATTATTATTATTATCATTATATTATCTACTGTATATATGCCACAGTATTTTCGATTACAATTTATGAAGTTTGAAGAAAGTGTATCTAATTAGGCCGAGAATTCCAAAATATGTATGATTTTTATATAAGAACTACATAAGATCAAAAATTTAAAAACATCATTAGAAGAATTTTTCTCTACATTTATGAACATAATTCTACCTTATTACAAAGAGTTGTATTTAAAGCATAGTGTTAAAACGGGAAGTTAAAAATAGTAGTCAATAGTACAAGTTTTGAAACATCTTCCAGTTTAAAATATAGATTAAATCAATGTTTGACCTTTTCGATCCCAATTGTTTTTTCATTTGCAATAACAAAAAACTTTTTACTATTTACTGGAAAACCTGCGAAAGCTTATTAACTTTCTGTAAGGTAAGTTATTGTAACCGTTCTAAAATCGAAATTGAAAATCTTTACGTTTCAGAGGTTTCTGAACATTTTGGTATACTTCAGAAAAATGAATGTGTGTGTAAGTGTGGATACAATTTTCCGTCGACGATTCCGGGCGTACGAAATAACCGATTTGAGTGATTCAAATATAATCGATTCCTATTGATACGCAAAAATTGGTCAAGCCGTTTCGGAGATACAAAACAAAGAGGGCAGAAAATGGAAATCGAGTTTATGAGAGAACGGAGCATCCGATTTGAATGATCTGAAAAACAATCAATTTGTAATGATGAGAAGAAGTGATAAATAGATTTTGGCAAAGGCAGGTCCCGCTGTTTCGGAGATACGGAGCTAAATGTGCAAAAAATGGCAGTTTTTTTTTTAAAACCAAGCATCCGATTTCAATGATTTAATAAACTTTGTGCTTGTATTGACGAAACGATTGCTTTTGTAGAAAATTTTTTTTTTATTATTTTATTTCCAAAAAAATATATTTATATTCTAAGCATCACTTATATACTTCAAATAATTAATTTTAACTATACAATTCAGTTTATATAATTCTTATAAATATTAGACAATGTCCTTCATTTTAAAGACGATTAATTAAGTTAAATAAACGTCGTCCTGTAATTTATAAGGTCTTATATTTTGTCTAAAAAATACCAATAAAAGTTATAGCTCTTATAGCTCTTATATTTTGTCATTAAAATATAAGATAATATCTGTTAGCTCTTATATTTTGCCTATAAAAGTATCAATGCTTATAATAATATATCAGGAAACATTTAATATTCTTTGAATATTTCATTAATGTACGGGAAGTTCCAGCAATTTGCCTTAAACCAAGATGTCATAAACCACTAGTTTAAAATTTTTATTTTTTTCTACAAAATACTGTAATATGTTACTTTTCATAAATGCATTTAGTTCAAAATCATAGACAACATTATTACTCATTAACAAACATTATTTTTATTTTCTAAATTTAGATTAGTAATTTGATTACTATTTTGCATAAAAAATTGATTGAACTTTACAATGAAAAAAAAAACATTGAAATTTATATTTAATTATGTATTTTATTATATATTTTTTCCTTAATTATTGCAAAATAGAATTGTCTGCCGTCAGCTACTAAAATACTTGTTTTAGTATGAAACTTTAATTGCTTATTATTGAAAAATAGCTTGAGAGAGTATAAAATAATATTTATTGATATTGATTATAGTTTGCTTATGAACAAATAAATATATGAATGAATGAATGTGACTGACATCTTTCTCAATAATCAATTTTGATGTGTGACAAAGTGATCTAGTTACATATATATTTCGCTTATATTTGATTTACTAATATCATGATCAGCACATACAGGTTTATAAAAAAGGCAAACAACGCAAAAATATTTTTATGAATATGTAGAAATGAAAACGTCAATCTTTAAAAAATAATTCCTTTTATAATTTTACACTTCACATATATTTATATTTTTGATTTGTCAACATTTCTGATTTATGATATGTTTGGTCAGTAATTCAAATCGAACTTAATATATCAATATGCACTATCAATAAATGTATTAATTAAATTCCTGCATAAAATCCGGTTTAATGAGAGTCGTGTAAATTTCGAGATATTTGACTCATAGAAAACACACAAATTTACGTGAAACTTCCAGAGCCGCATAAGAACATTTAGAAATTAATTTAATTTAATTAGCGGTGAAATAATAAAATAAAATATACGGTCGGGGTTATAACTCATAATAAAAAATAAATAAAATTTATAATAATTGTCTAAAGAATAAAATTCTATTCTATGTAATTTTCTAGTTTATTTGCTATTTCAAAAATAACTAGTGGTATATGGCATCGTGCCTTGGCAAATTGCTGAAACTTACCGTACCGTAACGAAATGTTCGAGGAATATTAAATGTTTTCGAATAGATTATTATAAATACTGTAACATTGTCTAATATTCATAAGAATTATATAAAACTGAATTACAAAGTTAAAATTATTTATTTAAAGAATATAAGTGAGCTTTAGAACTTCAGCCAGAATTAAAATTAAAATCTGAATTATTTTCGATATATATATATATATATATATATATATATATATATATTTAAATATTTGTTTTCAAAGGCAATTGTTTTGCTAACAGAAGCAGAAAGTTTTTTGAATCATTCAAATCGGATGCTTAGTTCTCTCAAAAACTGCCATTTTTTGTACATTTAGCTATGTATCGGCAGGACCTGCCTCGGTCAAAAACTAATCACCTTTTCTCCCTTTCATTACAAATTGAATGTTTTTTAGATCATTCAAATCGGATGCTCCGTTCTCTCAAAAACTCGATTTCTATTTTCTGCACTCTTTGCTCCGTATCTCCGTAACGGCTGGAGCTGCCTGCCAAAAACTAATCAGCACATCTCCTTATCAATAGGAATCGAATGTTTTTTGAATCATTCAAATCAGTTGATCCGTGCGACGAAAAAATTCGGACATACAAAACACGCACACACACATCCATTTTTTCTGAGGTATGCAAAAATGTTCAGAAACCTCTGAAACGTGAAGATATGCCAAAATTTTCATTTTCGATTTACCCTACGGAAAGTTAATAAGAGTACGACTGTGTCAGGGTACGGTAGTGACAGTCATCATAATAGCTAAACTATACTGATTTTAGGATAAGGTCCAAAAAGAGAAAGATGAAGTATGTTTGTTCGAACAAGTTTCCATTATTGCATTGAATCAGCACCCTACATTAACATGATCCGTAGACCGCGTCGCTTTTAATGATGATTAAACAAATAAAGAAATTAAATTAAATTAGACAAAATACGAAAGAGAAAGGGAAAAAAATTCAATACAAAAAGAAAAGATTTAACGAAGATTTCTTGTTATTTTTGTAAAAAAAAAATATGTTTTGTTATATATTGCTATATTATATTCATAAGCTTTGCTTAAATGATTATGTTGCTCTGTGTTGGATATTTCAGACAATAAAAGTCGTTATAAATTATTTTGGTGTTTATAACTATCGATTTTTAACTTGTATTGACTCGCTCCTTTCTTGTATGATTTGATTTTATGACTAATCCATAAATTAATTAACATAATAATATACTAAATAATGTCCTTAAATCCATTGTATTTAAGGTCAGCAATTACTATTTCTACGTAGACAAATGTTCAAATTACCAATTAATTTCCCTTCAACCCAGCTAACTAGTAAATTGACAAAATTATACCTGATCAAAAACAAAGTGGCTCAATCGTACCCAGTCTCCCCTACTACTAATAAAAAAATTAGTCAGTTTACTACTGCTTTAGTTATTCAGTTTTCAAAAATTTCTCAATGAATCAGCAATATTTTACCTTAAATTAGTGAAATTTTTCACAGTTGGCGTATTAATTAAAAACTCATCAGTATATATTGGTGATTTCGCGCATAAGTTAAAAATTCATTCAAGGTTTTCACCTTGAATTTGTACACTTTTTTCTAATACGCACAGAACGAAGAATTTATTAGTAACAGATAATTGTAGATATGATTAAGTATTATGTATTAATGATTAAGAGAAGTTTTTGTAAACTTTGTTGGTCTTGGAATTAATGGTTTTTGACTTGATTGTTCAGTTAAAAAGTAAATTTACTAACATAATTAACTAATAGAATAAAATTTTCAATAATTCACGCAGCTTTTGAAAATTCATCCGGAAAATTGTTAATTTTAGAAATAAAGTAGTAAATTTTCTCAAATCGAAGTTGAAGTAACGAAAGAAATCAAAATTCACAGTAAACAAATGGTTTTCTAAATTTCTTTAACTCTTAAAAATATGGCTACTTTATTAAACTTTGTATTACAAAAACTGAAATTCAAATTAGTAACATTTCATAACTTTGCCCAAAAACCCATAGCAAAACTATTACTGTAAACTACGAGTAAATGATAATGTTAGCATATATTAATAAATAAAACAAATATTACTCAAATATAATTAAAATAAAAATAATAAAAAAAGTTAAAAATAAAAACGTAAATATTGGTAAAATTTGAATTTATTTTCACGTTATATAGTAAGACTTAATGATCATCTACTGAAACCAATTATGCATTAAACTACCTCAGCAAAAATTTTCTATTTTATTTTTAAAAAATGTGTGCAACGAGTATGCATTAAATTTCCTTAGCAACAATTTGTATACCATTTTAAAACGAATATAATAATTAAAAAAAAAACTGCAAACTAGTAGTGCATGGCATGGTTACTGGAAACTTCCCGTACCAATTATTAAAATGTTTAGAAAAGCTTTACAATTTTTGAAAATCTGAAAAAATAGATTTTTGAGAAATCTGAAAAATTTTTTTTTGAAGAGTTTGAAATTTTTGTTTAGTTATATATTGATTTTTTTGAAAATATTTAATCCTTACACCGGGATAAGTTATAGTTATAGTATTGCAAAAAAAAACGAATATAAAATTTTATATATATCTTTACGTTTCAGAGGTTTCTTAACATTTTGGCATACGTTAGAAATAATGGATGTATGTGTGTGGGAACACGGATCAAACGATCAAACATTCGATTCGTATTGATGGGGAGATATGCTGATTACTTTTTGGCATTGGCAGATCCAGTCGTTTCCAAGATACGGGACAAAAAGTGGCACAAATTGTGATTCAGTTTTTGAGATAACGGAGCGTCCGATTTGAATGATTCAAAAAACATTTTGTTTGTATTGACAAAATAAAGAACTGATTAAATTTTTGGAAAGGCAAGTCCAGCGGTTTCGGAGATTGATTAGAAAAGTTTAAAAAAAAATGCATATGGCAATCAAAAATAATCATTAGCCATATGCACATTAAATTATTAAATATTCATAAAGATTTTAATAAGCACAAATTTTGTTTACATTGCTATTAGTTCTATACTGATGTTTATCTATTAGACTGCGACGCAGCGCTTAATTTAAAAAAAGCTACGCAGCGCGATTGCTTCGACAAAAAGTTCAAAATTTAAAAAAATTCAAAATAAAAAATAAAATTTCAGATTTTTATATTTTAAAATTCAAAAAAATCTAATATTTTCAAAGTTCAAAAATTTTTTAAGATTTTATAAATTTTAACTTTTGGTGCGAGAAGTTTCATCAAGTTGCCTTAAAGCACGATGCCATGTATCATTGCTTTATTTATAAAAAATATTTTTAATAGCACAAGAAAAATAATCAAAATAGAGTAA